TGCTTTGCCATCTGGAACTAATTCCGTAGTAAAACAACTCAACTTATTGTACTCAGTCTCGAACTCATGTACTGCTTAATCACCTTACTTCAAATTAAATAACTTTAAGAGCATTTCTTGTCTGAACTGTTCACCCACATACTTTTTCTTGAATTTTTCCAGGAAGAATTATCAGGTCACTTGCTCCGTTGGTGTATACATTATAGTATTTGACCACCATATCCGAGCTGATCCTCTAAGTAAAGATACAACTCCACCCAACTTTTTTGGATAAAAACATTGAAGGCTTTCGAGCATTATTATAACATCATTTAGCCATAAGTCGGCCTCCATAGGACCCTCACCCTCTTCTCCCTGGAACTTTGGAGCTCCCTAACCCTTCAACTCTTTTGGAATCAACATTCTCGATGCTGGAGGAGCAGTGGAGGTTGAAATTGAGCCAATATGTGTCAAGGGCTTTCATGAAAGTTCCAAACTCAGGCACCGAAATCCCTGGATGTGCAGGTGCACTAGCATTTTTCAGAGGGGAGAGGCTGAGCACTATTAGCCTAATAACTTTGACTACAAGTTCCTTCTTGTATCTCTTATTCCCCAGCTCTTCGTGAATTCGAAGATTTCAACATCTCTTATGATATACATAATAATAACAATATAATTAGTAAGGAGTGCCATCAATTTTACTCTAATTACACCATACCAGTAACATTGACAATCTTTATGGCATTTAATCCCTTTTCTATTTTAAAAATAAATCAGTTTCGGTTGAGAATCGGCTAAAACTGTAGCTCTGATACCAATAAATGTAACACCCATCTCCTGTATACCTTTCCGTACACAAGGTACAATGTCACATCACTTTATAAAATAGTTCATCATTTGAAAACCTATAAAATTTAGTTTTTCGATTTCTTAAAACATAACATTTTTAAGCTACAACAAAACATTGATTGTAATTTGTTACAAAGTTCTACTTAATTAAAATTCAGAGCATTTTTAGTACTTTAATTACATGCCAAATAAGTTTTTCCAAAATAAAATGGATTTTCCAATTGTTACTGAGGAGTCCACCTTAATTGATGATCAATGTTGCTACAACTTCACTCCTTGCTCAACTAATCTTTGCCTTTACCTACGCGTGAAATCAGCACACGTTAAATATGTACTTAGTGAGACATAATATCGCAATTAAACATTAATTTATACTTTAGCATATCATGGTTATTTGACTTCAAATAATTTGTATCATCCATTAGGATTAGATAAATCCCTATTCTTGAAACCACACTTCTTTCATAATATTATCATAAACATCTTTAGTATGTCCAACATACTTTCTTTCTGTACATTTTCCCATTTTTTCTTTAGTAATTATTCATTAATTTCATTCATGATATCCTTTCATGCCTTAATGCATCCTTTCATACATTTCATTTATGGCATCCTTTTCATACCTCAATGCATCATTTCATGCATTTTAGTTATGGCATCCTTTTCATACCTCAATGCATCATTTCATGCATTTTAGTTAGGCATCCTTTCATGCCTTAATGCATCCTTCCATTCATTTTAGTTATGGCATCCTTTCATGCCTTAATGTATCATTTCATGCATTTTAGTTATGGTATCCTTTCATGCCTTAATGCATCCTTTCATGCATTTTAGTTATGGCATCCTTTTATACCTTAATGCATCCTTTCATGCATTCTAGTTATGACATCTTTTCATGCATTCTAGTTATGGCATCCTTTCATGCCTTAATGCATCCTTTCATTCATTTTAGTTATGGCATCCTTTCATGCCTTAATGCATCCTTTCATGCATTCTAGTTATGACATCCTTTCATGCATTCTAGTTATGGCATCCTTTCATGCCTTAATACATCATTTCATTCATTTTATTTATTGCATTCTTTCATGCCTTAATACATCCTTTCATGCGTTTTAGTTATAAATTCGTTTTAGAGCAGTTCATACTCATAAACTCATTCATAATATCATTTCCATACATATAATGATAACCTATTAATTACTATAAAACATACATTAACTTAAAACGTTCTAAATTGAATCATTGCAAACTTTATTCATCTCAGATAATTACAATAAATTTACTCACATGATAATCCCTGCTAATAAGGTGTAGAGATGTCTTACAAATAAGCAACTTTATCATTTCCCTTTTTCTTACTAGATTTATGAGCTTGATTACGATCTACACAAGCATCCATTACGTACACATAACATACCAATGTTAGTATACTCCTTAACATTATACTTTAATAATATTCAAAAGTACCATTATTTCAATTTCTATAACAATTTCAACCATCTTGTAGTTCCAAACTCAAAAGTATTGGTACTACTACCCAGGTATCGATATTTCTATACTATGGTATTGATACCCCCTTTCAGTATCGATACCATTTCTATATTCTGTGTTTGCATGGTATCGATACCTTTCTCTCAGTATCGATACTACTATACTACGGTATCGATACCTCTTTCAGTATCAATACCATTTTGACATTCTGGATCCATGGTATCGATACTTCCCTTTGTTATTATCGATACCCCATCAGTATCGATACCACTTACATTGGTACCGATATTGTTCGTCATATTCTACCTATTTACACCTATAGTATCGGTACTGTTCTATCAGTACCGATACCCTTACCCATATTTTCCATTTTTCAGCCCGATTTTTACTAAATTTTCCCCTCTAATCTCTTACGTTTTCCTCCAACAATCCTATTAAACTTTTCTTTACTTAACCCCACTAACATTCCTTTATTTAACCTCTTATAACATTTAGAATATTCGTAGAACACTTCAACTCAAGAATCATATCATTTTTCTAAACACATTTTTAATCATATCTCATGATTCTAATCTCTTATTCAATCCTTTGACAAGTTAATTCTACTAATAAACCTCAATAAAAACTCATATATCAACATATCATTCAAAAATCCATTCCCTTAAATCTCATATAAAACGTCCTCCACTTAGTTTTAATCTTCTTTAATATTTCCTTAAGCTTACATATCACTTAATGTTACAAGAGCAACCTAAAATTTAAAGGAAGAACTAATCAATGGAAGTTTACCTTATGCTAGAGAGGAAAACACTACCCACGTGAGTGAAGAAGAAGAAGAAGAATAGAAAGAGATTACTTTCCTCTTTTCCCCCTTTACAATCCCTAATAAGGGATATATTTTAAATTCATTTTCCTTCTTAAAAGACCAAATGCCCTCTTAATTTCTTAATTTATCTATGGTTACAATTAGTCTAAATACTATTCCAAATCATTTCCTCCAATTTTACCACTTATTCAAATAAATTTTAAATTTTCAAATTACATCACCTCAAGTAGTACCTCCTTTCATACATGTAATGCCACAACCAGTGATGAATCAACCAAATCCAAGACTTCCACTGCCCTTTCCACAAAGATTTATGAAAACCAAGGAGGTTCAGCAATTCAAGGCATTCATTGATGTACTTTGACAATTGAAAATCAATATTTTGTTGATCGATTCTTTAGAGAAAAATTTGAACTACATCAAATTTATGCCATAAGTTCTTTCCAAAAGAGAAGGTTGGGCGAGTTCGAGACTGTTGCACTTACCGAAGGTTGTAGCGCCATGGCTATAAGTAGATTGCCACCAAAAGTCAAAGACATGAGGAGATTTACTATTCCTTATAGCATTGGTGATCAACTTGTTGGTAAGGCTTTATGTGATTTAGGTTCCATCATTAACCTTATGCCCTTGTCAATTTTTAGGAAATTTAGAAGTGAAAAAACAAGACATTGTGGAAAACATGCTTGTGCGAGTGGACATATTTACTTTCCCCATTGACTTCATCATTTGGATTGTGAAACCATATAGGATGTTCTAATCATTCTTAACAGAGCTTTCCTTGGTACAGAGCGAGTTTTATAGATGTTGAAAAGGGAGAACTTACCATGCGTTTAAATGATGAATATATCACTTTCAATGTCTTGAAGAATGTTTCTTTTATGGATGATCATGTTCATTTCAATAGCATTGATGTTATATATGTTTATGTGCAGTATCATTTGGAGGAAAGCTACAACATGGACATTACCATGGAAAATGCTGTAGCAATTAAAGAATTAAAAGATAATGAGGCAGGAAATTTTATGCAACATTTTGAGTCTTTAGAATTTTCTGATCTACCTATTCAAGCACCGAAGCTGTCAATAGAATATCCTCCTAAGATTTAGCTTAAACCCTTACCCGAGCATTTGAAATATGCATTCTTTGGAAAATGAGACATTGCCAGTCATTGTTTCAGCAAAGCTCACAGCATCGAAGACAGATAGAGTGATTACTGTTCTGAAGCGGCATAAAAGGATACTTGCTTGGAGCATCACTGATATTAAAGGGATCAGTCCAACATTATGCATGCATGAGATTTTACTGGAAGATCTAAAAGTAGTTCAATTAAGCAACAATGAAACTTAAACCCGATCATGAAAGAAGTTGCTCATAAGGAAATCATGAAGTGTTGGATGTTGGGATTACATATCCAATTTTTGAAAGAAATTGGGTAAGCCTCGTGCAATGTGTTCCCAAGAAGGGAGGCATCACTGTAGTAACGAGTGAGATGAATGAGTCAGTGCCTACACGTACGACTATGGGCTAGCGAATCTTCATGGACTACCGAAAACTGAATAAAGCTACAAAGAATAATTATTTCTCATTGTCGTTTATTGATCAAATAATGGATCGACTACCTGGAAAAGCTTTTTAATGTTTTCTTGATGGGTATAGCGGCTACAATCATATAGCCATAGCTCTTGAAGGCCAAGGGAAGACTACCTTTACTTGTCCATATAGAACTTTTTCATTTCGAATAATGTCGTTCGACTTGTGCAATGCTCCAACAACATTTTAGTGCTATATGATAGCTACTATTTTAAATCAATATGAAGAAACCAATTTAGTTATGAATTGGGAAAAATGCCACTTAATGGTAACCAAGGGCACAGTGCTAAGGCATTGTATTTTCCAAAATGACATTAAAGTAGACAAGGCCAAAGTGGAAGTTATTGAGAAGCTACATCCTCCCACTAATGTGAAGGAAGTAAGGAGTTTTCTAAGACATGCGGGCTTTTATCAAAGATTCATCAAGGACTTTTCTCAAATTGCTATATCTTTTTGTTCACTTTTGGAGAAAAATAAGAAGTTCGTTGTGGATGTTAAAGTCCTTAAGTCCTTTGAGAACATCAAATCAAAGCTGGTAAATGATCAAATTATCTTAGCACCAGAATGGAGTTTACCTTTCGAATTAATGTGTGATGCTAGAGACCATGTTGTAGGAGCAGTTCTAGGGAAGCGAATGGAGAAAATATTCCATGATATTCATTATACTAGCCGAACCTTGAATTATGCTCGGGTCAATTACACCACAACCAAAAAAGAGTTGTTTCATGTGGTGTTTGGTTTTGATAAATTTTACCCACACGTGGTTGGAACCAAGGTCATTATCTACACTGACCACTTGACTTCGAAGAATTTATTTACTAAGAGGGATATTACACTAAGATTGATTCGACGGGAGTTACTTATTCAAGAGTTTTACATAGAAGTTCGTGATAAAAGGGGTCAAAAACCAAGTGGCATATTACTTGTCTCGCTTCGAATTCGGAAGTGAGGATGGAAACAAACTTGTGATTCTGGATGTTTTCCCTGATGAGAGATTGCTGGCCATCGATGCTTTACCATGGTATGTGGACTTTGTGAACTATTTAGCTATTAGTATGCTGCCACCAGATATTAATCATCAAGGTCAAAAGAATTTCATGCGAGATGTTAAAGCCTAGTTTTGGGAAGAACCTTACCTCTTTAAGCAATGTAATGATCAAATTTTAAGGAGGTGTGTTCTCGAGAGTGAGCAGTAAAGCATTCTACATCATTGCCACAACGCACCATATGACAGAAACTTTGGTGGCATGCGTACAGTAGCGAATTTCCTTTAATGTTTCTATTATTGGCCATCACTATTAGAGGATGCCAATGACTTTGTAAAGCATTGTGATCACTGACAGAGAACATGTAGCATTTCTTGTCGTAATGAAATGTCAATGCAGCCTATGCTAGAAATTGAGCTCTTTGATGTTTAGGGATTATATTTCATGGGACCATATCCAACACCTTGTGGCAACCTCTTCATTCTTTTTGTTGTAGACTATGTGTCTAAGTGGGTTGAAGCTATAGCATTACCTTCAAGTGATGCTAAAGCAGTTCTACGACTCCTACACAAGCATATTTTTACCCTCTTTGGAACACCAAGAGCTTTTATTAGTGATGAGGATTCCCAGTTTGTTGGAAGGCAAGTAGTGAATGCTCTACAACGTTAAGGAGTTAAACATCGCATTACTACAATATATCATCCTCAAACAAATGGCCAAGCTGATGATAGTAACCACGAAATAAAGCAAATCTTGGAAAATGTGGTAACTCTATCAAGAAATGATTGGTCCTTACGTCTTGAGGAAACTTTTTGGGCGTATAGGATAACCTATAAAATCCCTGTGGGGATATCTCATTGTCGCTTGGTGTATGTCAAATCTTTTCATTTACCTGTGGAGATGGAGCATAAGGCAATGTGGGCATTGAGAAAATTGAAATTTGATCTCGATACTGTAGGCAAAAAATAGATCCTAGACCTCAAAGGACTTGAGAAGCTTCAAAACAATGCTTACGAGAGTGCCAGAATCTACAAAGACAAAAGTAAAAATAGAGCGGAAAACATATCTTGCCAAGATAGTTTAATGTTGGACAACAAGTTCTATTATTCAACTCTCGCTTGAAGCTTTTTTCTGGGAAACATAAGTCTCGATGGCTTTGACCTTTTGAAGTAGCAGATGTATATCTTAATGGGGTAGTACTTTTATAGAATTTAGTGAATGAGAGCACATTCAAAGTCAATGGACTAAGTTTAAAGCATTATTGCCAACAATAATGCCCTAGCATTGCAAACATAAGTCTAGATGGCTTTGACTTTTTTAATTCCTTTTTATTATGGATAAATCAATTTTATTGACATTAGTTTTGATTCTTTCATTTTAATTATATTTTCTATCTTGTTTTATACGTTTTGTTGAAGCTATTTCGCTACATTATGTCTACTGTATTGTACTTGTGCTGCATAACAATTACCTTCATTTTCAACATGGAATGCTATGTTCGATGCTAGCAGCAACTGCCAGTTGGGCGGTAAATTTTTGGTAAAGTAAATTGTGTGAGTTGTCACCCATTTTTACATCCTTCCATCTCCATCGTCCACCTTTTATAATCCAACCCGTTCATAGCCCTTATCATTATCTCTCCATTTTAAAATTCAAAAAGAATTCCACGCTTTTTTTCACTCACACACGTAAAACCTTTGATATCCCAACAACCCTAAAGCAACACACTTATTTCATTTTCCATCTTTTACCTTCCTTTTAAGTCATTCCTCCCTCGCAAACAAAGGTCCTTTATTTTCTTGCAACCTTTTCTCTCATTCCAAACAACTTGCCTTTTCAGCCATGGCTCCAAAAAAAAGACCGTAGTCAAAGGTTCTGGCCGAACCCCTACTCCTACGTTGCCAACATCGCCAGAAATACTAGTAGTCATCTCTACTGATGAACCAATGCGCTTCATGGAAGACGAGCATCAACGGTGATATGCCGAGGATTTTTTCAATCATGAGCTCTACTACAAGCAAGGTTTCAACTTGTCCATAACTGAAGAAATGCAACCATTTGCTTATGTGACGGACACCATCGTACTGCTGAAATGGGAGACCTTTTGCTCCCATCTGGGAAAAATAAACCATCATTGGGTTTGGGAGTTTTACAACAACCTCGATGATGAGGGTCTGGTTTTTGTTTGTGAAAAATTAGTCCAATGGTGGGCTAGGCCTATAAATGATTTGCTCAGCCTTGAAGAATGTCCTGGCGAGAGTTTGTTAACAATCTCACCTCGGCCGATCTAGAGCAAGTAGGAGTGGACGTATGTTTACTAGTCAAGACATGGACCAAAACCACCTCTGACGTCTACACAATGCGCCGACTGGACTTGAATCGTGAAGCAAGGCATTTTCATATTTCACACTTTCAGTTTAATGCCAATGCACTTTTCACATCATTAAAGATAGTTGATTTTGTTGTTATCATTTATTTATATTTTCCTTCATTTATCACTGCATTGTGTCACAAAGTGCAAGTGGTTCATTTATCTTTTGATCATGTTTTCAAGAATGGGAGTGTTATCACAATTGTTGTCATAAAAAGGACTTTATTGAAGGAAGGGCTAGAGCCAAATAATCAGCGCCAATATTTAGTGAATAACCTGCTGTAGCTTAACAATATGAGCCTCAACCTGTTGATGCAACCTTTGACTTACAAAATGCTATAGCATCTGTAGCAGCTAGACAAGAAATATTATGGCAATGCTAAGCCACTCCCTTTAGAATCAGTCATAATTGCACGCTGCACAGGTGCAATATTGGCAATATGCCTAGGCCAGAGATGTAGCGGTGAAGAAGCTGTCAGCAAAGATGTTCAAGGATGGCAAGGTTGTTTTCTCAGTATTCTCAGTGGGTGTGCTTGCTAACCTTGCCCAACTAAAGATGTCGGATGCTGCTGATAGTTCCAACAGTATTGAGGAAAAATAAGCTGCAAAGATAGATGATGGGGAGCATACAATAGAGACCGAGGCTAGAACTGATGAAGTGGAAGAAGAAGAAAGAACTGAGAAAGAGGAGGAAGTGGAAGTGGCTGATTCGGCTGCATCAACAATTATATAGACCAACAAAGAGACAATCAACCATGAGAATTACAAAGAAGAAATTTCTATGCAAGAGACGGACGCTACGAGCAACTACAAGACCTTAATGATGACAAGGATGCACAAGATGTTGCAGTCATGAACAACAAGAGCTTGAATTTGTCAAGCTGGTTAGCAAAGTGTTCAAAGATGTTAAGCAAATTGGGGCGACAAATCAACCTGAGAACATGTTGGCCTAGTGAGTAACACTTTGATGCACATTCTTATTCCTGAAGTTTCTAAAGTTATGTATTACATCGCTAGCCATATTGTCAAAGAAATTCAACAAGCTACAGCCAGTCAGCATAAGAGCTCGATTTTGAAGATAGTGACTGGCGTTAAGGGAAATTTAGAGGACCCAGACACTCAAACGCCAGAACCAATCAAGAAGTTTCCTCTCGTTATCCTTGATGCTGCTATAGTGAAGGTCACGTGTACGTCCACCAGTCAAAAGCGAGAAAGCTCAATGAAGGCAAAAGTTACCTCAAAGTGTGTTCTACCGAATATTGTGAGACCGAGAAAAAGCCTGCAACAGTCAAATTAGGGGAATTTCGTTCTCCTTTTTCATGTTTTCTTTTGTTTAATATGAATTGAGGGCAATGTACCCCTTAGGTTTGGGGTGTATTATCCAATTGTGGTGTGTATATGTGTTCCATTCATGTTGTTTGCATCTAATTAATATTTATGTATGCTGTTGCGCATTATGTTTTAGCATTTTGTTTAGGATTTGCATTAGTAATACCTTAAGTTAGTGTCAAAAAATCAATGAGTTTTTAATTAATTTTGATTATGCCCAATGATAATGAATAGTTTAGAGGATGAAATGTTATGGGATTATTTATAAACTTGTTCGAATTAGGATCCATAAAAAAATTATACTTTAGGTGTATGTTTTCAATACTTAGATAATCTAGAAAATTTTGAATTTAACTCATATTTTTATTAGATGCTATAGCAATTGTAGAACTTGAAGTGCCTGAAATTGGCTCTAGTAAAAAAACACCACTCAACTAGAGGTGCCCTTAACTGGCTCTAGTAATAAAAAACATAAGAATAAGTAGGAGGTGCCTAAAACTGGCTCCAACATTAGTATAAAATAAGTTGATTGCTATAAGATTGAAAATTATTAATTGAGTAGGTTCACATTTTTCTAAATTAGCTAAGTATTAACTGGATACACCTATCCTGCACACTTGCACGATGTGGATTCTGATTTGGGTAAGTTAATAGTGTATTCCATAATTCTTTATTGTATGAATGTTGCATGTATTACTGCAGCAATGAATTGAGGGCTGAAAAATAAAGTTCAATGTTGAGTTGATTTATTGATATTGATATGTGGTATTGTTGTTTAGTCTAGTTGCATTTTATACATGTCATTGCTTGAGGACAAGCAAACACTTAGGTTTGGGGGTGTTATAACTCTCCAAAAGAGTTATCATATCAATCATTTGTACCTAGGTTTAGTTTGAACTTAAGTATGTTTAGAAGCATTTTAAGATCATTTTATTTACATTTGCATACATATTACCTCATCAGAAATTTGCTACAGCTTGGGTTGATTTTTATTTTTATTGCTGAAAAAGGTACAAAAATGTTGTAGCATCGGCCGAAGATATAGATGATGTTGTGTTAAGGTTGTAGCAACTGATGAGTCACCATGCAGTGGTGTGAACATTTTGGAATGAGAAAACTAGCGAGGATAGCTGTCAAATGGCTGCAAAATATCTTAATTGTGGAGGTATCCTATTGGTTGAAGGTTGAATACCTTGGCCTATAAATTGGAGAGGTCACTTCATCATTTAATCATTCAATTCTTCATCTCCAAAATTTTCTCCACCCATTTTATCTTCCGATCAACCATGGCAGCTTAAAATCCTCGCCAGGGAGCATTGTAGTAACACGGGAGTAGGCTGAGTAGCGTAAGCAGTCAAGAATATCACCTTACTTCTACTTTTGCTCTTTAACTGAGATACAAAAATAGCAATAATCTAGGAAGTTTTATTTGTGGGTGAATGTTGGCAATGAACTTAATGGTTTGTGAATGTTTATATTATTCTATGTGTGACTCTATGATTATGTGATGTTGAACTTTCATGGTAATTTTAGAGATATTATTAACTTCATTTATGAATTATTGATGTTATTTAGAAATCGATATTGTTGATGATTTATATTACATTTGATCAGAATTGGTTTTTGATTAAAATCAATCTTGCATGCTGAGTTAATTACAATAAATTCTTGTTGATTAAGTGTGATTAATCTTTTCTAGACGCATAAAAGTAGAGTTTATTACATTATTATAATATAAACAACCAACTATAATCCTGGGCCATTTGATACTTGGTTTACTGCTCTCCTAAATGTTGTAGCACTACCTGACATTTATCATTTTGATTTTATTATCTTGTTGTTGAATTTTTCTTCAATCCTTATAATCATATTTCTATTACTCTTTTACACAAATCTTCTATATACTTTTATCTCTATGTGGGTTCGACATCCGAAGCTTAGCATCTTCAATTTTATTACATTGATACGAGAGTGTATGCTTGCACTATGCTGTAGCATTTATTATTATTAATATCATGAACTCGACAAGTAGGTTCACTGGAAGAGCTAAATTGTTGAGAGTTAGTGGCCATGGTAGAAATTAGATTTCTGGCCGCATGCAGAGACATGTTCACAAGAGCTCATCCACTAGCTACGTTAATCATCTTCATCTCTAAGGGAAGTAATCCTTAATAAAAATATTGGAGAAGAGCCTGTTCGGTTAACTCGTGCTGTGGATAGCTAGCACATAGTTTCTTGAATCGCAGCCAATAGTCATATAACAACTCTTCATCATTTTTTGGAGTCCTAAGATGTTTCGCCTTAACTCACTCGCCTTTGGTACAGAGAAGAACCTATCAAGAAAAATACGAGTCATGTCAGCCTAAGTAGTAACAAAATTAGGCTGTAAGTAAAATAGACAATCCTTAGCCAAATCGGCCAAGGAAAAATGAAAAGCGTGAAGTTTTACATGATCTTCGGATACTCCTGGTGGTTTCATGCTAGAGCAAACCGTATGACATTCAGTAAGGAATTTGTGAAGATTTTCACTCGGCAATCCATGGAAAGTAGGTAGAATATGGATCAAGTCAGTCTTGAGTTTGAATGGTGTTTCTTCATTCGGGAATACAATGCATAATGGTGTTGTTCGACAGATGTCATAACTAATTGTTGAATTGTCAGATCAGCAATAGGGATCGGTTCATTATGTAGGGATTGGTTTATTATGTAGGGATTTTGTGTCAAGTAGGTTTCGTCCTTGTTGTTTTCTTCTTTCCCTAAGTGTACGTGTGTGTAGTTTTCGGGATACTATTTCAATCTCAGGTTCAAAATCAACTAGTTCACCTAGATTCTTCCTGATCCTAAATCAAAACAAACAATATCAGTAATTTGCCGAAGTCCCCGGCAACGAAACCAATTTGACAAGCGTCGTAATTGTCAAATAAATAAAGCATTTTCTCAAATAAATAAGCTAAGAACGTAGTACAGAGAAGAAAGGGTCTTCCCACAGGGATGTAAAAATTTCCAATATCGGTTTGAATTGATCTTGATCCAAGAAAACTGTAAAAGAAAAATAAAGGGGAATTTAGCAAAATAAATTGAATAAATTGAAATAAATAAAAACAAAAAAATAGATAATTGAAAATAATTATGATGAGAGATAGCATACAACTTCGCTTCACCTTAATTTGTTTCGATAATTAAAATAGGTTTTACTTCGGTATATTTTCCGGTTACAGTCTACAAGGCCCAACCCTTGTAACTTGCTCTTCTCTCATGTGAACTAATTTCCAAAGTCAATCCTTGTAATTTAATTCTTGTTTGGATTAACAATGGCTATCGATGTTAACACCAATGGCTATCGATGTTAACACCAATGCTACTTTAAATGCATTAAAAACTTGTGCTTAGATTATGGTGTCTTAATGAAAGTCAAACTTGATCTTGATTTCCCTTAGAAAATAACTTCTAAGTTTTTTCTTACGAAGTTGAATTTGCTACAAGCTTACTCTTTTCCCCAACAGTAAATCAAAACAACATTCAAGCCACGATGCACTCTTTGAATTGAACGTGTTGAGATATTTAAAGGAAAGGTCAATTGCCAATCCTAGTTTGCTAAAAATCAAGAAAGATACCTGAAGGTATGAAGCGGATTGAGTTGTTGCCTAACTTTTGGCTAATAAGAAAATTAGCTAAGAATGATAGAAACCATACTTAGCATTGTGAAAAGAAAATAAAGAGATGAAAGAAAAGTATAACTCTAATAAATAGCCAAGGAAATATAAGTTTCAATCTTGAAGAGAGAGGACCCTTTGGTGATCCAATTTGTGTCTTTAAGCCACTGGATGCTTCTCTTCATGTTTGCCACCCATGCTTTTAGGTTAAGAGGGAATTGTTTTTCTTGTGAATCTTCATGAATCCCATCTTTATAAAGAGTCATGAAGGAAGAGTAATACCTTTTAAATGGTGTCCTTTCGTCTAATCCTTTCATGAAGAGTTATGATGAAATATCATGACTTTTGGAGGCACCTCTTAGGATGGATTAACATGTCTTTTGGAGGCACCTTTTGATGAGGTATCATGTCCCTTGGATAATGTATTATGTCCCTTGAAAGACACATGTTGATGAAGCATTGTGTCTATTTGGAAAGACACCTCTTGATGAAGCATTATGTCTCTTTGGAAAGACTCCTCTTGATGAATCATTGTATCTCTTTGAATAGGAACCTCTTGATGAAGCATTCTGTCTAGACACCTCTTGACGAAGCATTGTGTCTCTTTATGAGATGACTCTTGGACACTTTTTTTCATCTTGTCGCCGTTGGAAGTGGATGAAGGCATCTCTTCATCTTATTGGCCCTTGGAAGTGAAGAAAAGAAATTATTCTCCTTGTAGTAGTTGGTAGTGGAGGAAGGCGTCTCTTCA